AAAGAGATGTACAAATCAGCTATGCCATATGTGAAAATACAATTGTTCCTATGTTCAATTCTGCTGAGCTTATCAAATGACCTACTCCTCAGTCCAACGCTCATAAGAATGGTTGTAAGTGACAGATGCAAAGGCATTGTGACAACGTGCTAAAGGTGGCATGGCAGAGAGAACAGGAGCTTCTTAAAGAGACACAGACCAATTTCAATGTGTCCCATTGCAAAGTCAAATTTATTTCATGTTTAATAATATATTATTTGTGCCACATTTTTAAAACATCTCAAAATACCATAGTTACTTGATAGTGCTTTGAATTAGCACTATGTGCCTGGAAAACACATAATTTAAATCATTGAAGCTTGATGTTTTAAAGTCACTTTACAAGTGAAACTGCCTTTTTGTGCATTCTTGTCTACCCAGAGGACAACAGTTAATGTGCCCTTGAACAGGAAACGGTGGCATCACTGGGGCTTCTGGGGCTGAGGAGTTGCCAGCAGCAGGAAATTGCGCTCGTAATTCAGGCCCGCATTATTAAGCAATATTTTGCTCAAAGGAGAATAAACTTTTACATAACTTTTCCATTTTAAATGAAGGTTTAAAGGGAACATTTTATTAGAAAATTTTATTAGAAAATTTTCCACCAAATGAAATTTTGTCTCTTCTACATCGCCTTAATAAAGAGCGCCATGAAAGTTTATCACGGTGCTGGCAGTTATCTAAAGTATGAAAATATTCATGGGAAAAGAGTTAAAATCTGCAGGATAATTAAAGTTGTTAGGTCAAGTTAACTGTGGGAATGTGTAGTTTGATCTAGGCTTTTATGCTGTTCTGAAAGGTTGAGAGTGCCTATTTGTGCATGAATAAGTGAAGAAGAAAAAGCTTAAGCTTACATCTCTATACGTTTAAATACAATAAAGTGCAATGTGATGATATAGATTGAGCCCCATTTTGTTAAAACACACCTCTTCTGTTGCAGGTGCGACAGTTCTGTTTATAGTTCTGAAGCAAAGAAGGAAACATGCAAGTCAGTGCTAATCCAAAAATGGATTCTTAATCTGCACCAACACCTGCAGCAGAAACACTGTTTACAAATATTTTCAAGAGCAAATATTACAAAAAGAAACTTTCGAGGTTGTGTGTGTTTTGGCATTCAGTCAGGCATTACTGCATCTGGTGTTTGATTATAATCACAGGAAAGAGGCAAAAAGTTGTATTTGTGTGTTTGTGTGAATGAAAATTGTTGTTTGTCAGAATTTGTAAGCCACCAACTACTAATTTCTTCCTGATGTGGGACCCTTTGTAAATTCCCCTACAATGCATGCAACTCACAAGCTGACCACTGGCACAGCTATACACACATTTCCACTAATATTCCCACAAGCGCAACTACACACACCTCCCTTTTTCTTGAGCCCTCCCTCACATACCAGAGTGCTTACCCTATATGTTTCTGTGGCAGGGTGAGACTGAAAAGTTGATTTATTTGAAAAGTTGATTCCCATCACCACACAGAGGGCGTTTATTTTTAATTAATTGTGTAGAACTGTAAAAGGTTTATGTAAAAAAAAATCCCACAGGTAAAAAAAAAAAGTACATATATATATATATATATATATATATATATATATATATATATATATAGATATATATATAGATATATACACACACACGTGTGTGTGTGCAACCAAAGAAAAAGGCATTTTATTCACATTTTAACTTATCCTTTGCCACCATGTGCAGTGCCATGTAAAATTATTTACGTCCCTTGAACTATTTCATATTTTTTCATGTCATAGCCACAAACTTTAGACTATTTATTGGGATTTATGTGACAGATCAACAGATAATAATGAATAATTATGAAGTAGAACATAAAGTATACATTGTTTTTATAACTTCTCTTTTTCACAAACAACAAAACCCCAAATAGCAAGCTTGTGTTGTTACAACTGGAAGTCTTTTGGAGAATGTCTCCGCACAGTGCATAAAGAGAAACTGTTGTCCATTCTTCTTTGATCAAATAGCTCAAACTCAAACTTGAATAGGGAACATATGTGAACAGCAACTTTTACATCTAGCCACATATTTTCAATTAATTTTAGGAATGGACTTTCTAACGCAATAATATGCCTTGATCTAATCCAAACTACTTTAGCAGGGCCTCGATGTTTATGGTTGTGAGCCAAATGAAAGGTGAACCTTTGATCCAGGATAACAGCCTCCAACAGGTTTTCTTCCAGTATTGACTTGTATTTTCTAACACTCAGATGGAGCTTCATGATGCTGCCACTAAAATGCTACATAGTGTGTTTAGAGTGGTCTGCAGTGTTGGTTTTCAACTAAACACTTTTATATCTATAGACTAATGTGAGTCATCTATCCAAGCAACCCTCTGTTTCATGTTTCCCATGTCCGCTTGTGCCTTGTGGCATGCAAACAAGACTTCCTTTGGTTTCCTTCAACAGCAGCTATCTTCTTTTACAAGTATGCACTATTTTACGTTGGTCTATCATTTTCACATCCATTGAAGTTTGCTGTTGTAATTTGACTGCTTTTGCAAGGCATTCATCTGAAATCACTAAAAGCTGCTGATGGTTTGATGCATTCATGCCTTTAGAAATCACCATTGTTTGAGAATAATTAAAACCCGATATGCTTCAGTTTACTGGAGCTGTGATTAAGGGACCTTCTAATACGCCAACCTGTTAAATAGGCTCATTCTTTTCTAATAAATTAGATTACACATAAATAAAATGACATCCATTAAATCACTGATATGTGTAAGCTTTGAGACAGCTGTGGAATAGTCTTGCCTTTGTTAAAGTTTATTTATTACAATGACCTGCCCTTCTCCGCTTTGTTTTCAAATGGATGAGAAAGTGTCTTTATGCTCATCTGTTATCCTCTCCTTCTGCTCAGATGGTGGTTAATAAGTCAGCTAACTTAGATCCAACAGAAACAAAGCGATTAAAAATACATCCATCCTTTGCTCAGACACGCTACGTATCGTACGCTCTGACACAGATGTCCATTCAGCACACACACACACACACTCCATCCATGCTGTCACATAACACATGTGCACGGCTACTCGTGTGCAAATATTTAATATTTTTATCTAAACGGAAAAGGAAAAAGGTATGCTGGAGCCAAGAGAACTGATGCCTGTTATTGCAACGTTGGAAGTCAATTTTTATTAATATGTGCAGCTGTGTTGCATGATTATACTGGATCCTCCATTGATAACCTGTGGTAGGTTTGCCTTTGACCTCTGGCCTGTGTGTGCCAAACAGAGGGGAAGGGTTGAGCTGATAGGAGAGCCTAGTTGACACTAATGAGACAACAGCCCTGGAAAGACGGATGAGCTGAGGGGAAAAGAAACTCTTCCAACTATTCCTATGACTCCTGGCTGGCTTCAGATACAGAGAGAGAATCAACACGTGTGGCTTGCAGCAATTGCATGCAAACAACACACACGTCTGTGGACGAGGCATAATGAATGCACAAACACGAAAACATAATAGAGGCTCGATGCAGAAGGTGTGCAGGAGCTACTGTATTCTTATGTTGTTTGATGTCAATCCATTCGAACGCTGTTCCAAAACGGGGAATGTGAATAATGGCCGATGAATGAGGCAGGAAACCAGTATGGATCAAGTATGTGCCGCCCATCCAGACTGACTTCTCACCTCTCTCAAATGTAGTCAGTGAGAGCTCACCTGTGGGGCCAGTAAGTGCTAACAAGACAGAAGTAACCAGGCACAGATGTTGAAATGTTTCTGTAATTTTCAGTCAACTCAATCTAAATGATGCATGATATTTTTTAAGCTTATTTTCACACATGATGTGTCTGGTCAATATTAATATAGCATTAGTTTGCACGTTTTAATTTTTTTCACGTCGATGCTACAGAGTTTAATAAGTAAAGTAGTGAATAATTTTGATTGTTACAATGAACCTGTACAAACGTAATATCAACTGAAAATGTTTGTCAAGATTCAAAAATCAATGGTCATGGATGATCCAATCGGACTGTTTTATGAAGAAGGCAGAGTAAAAATGTCCATCTCTGTATCTGACAAATCTGGTAGAGACCTGCCCTAAACCTCAGGTGGTTCAACAAAATAGTTAATCGGGGGTCTTGAATTCAAATTCTTGCCACAATTTTCAGAGTTGTGTTTGAAACCATGCTCAGTTTTTAATCCATTTTACAGTTGTGCATTACCTCGTGTTTCCGTAATGTGAGCAAAAGTGCAAGAAAGTTGAAAGGGTATGAAAACTTTTCCATTCAACCTGCTTGTGTGTAGATGCACATGAATTGAATGTGCACACAAAGCACACACACACGCACGCACACACACGCACACAGTGGTTTTGCACAGGCACTAAACAGCTACTCACTCAGGTACATATACACACCATGCCAATCCATAAATCAAATGATAATTGAGTAGCACTCTGCCAGTAATAAACAGAGCAGTATAAACAGCCAGTGTCTGGGTTGGATACACCACCTCCCACTGGCATGCCGCTGGCGGTGTGCTGCTTGGTAAACTCACAAAACGCACACCTCAAGAAACAAACACACACACCCTAAATAAGTTTACAAGAATGCAAAGATGGAAACAGAATGTTTTATCTGTTGAATTCACAGAAACTGGGGTGAAAACACACAAATGCTATGTGTTAGTAGGAGAAAACACACATGAGCGAAGCCCTGATAACAATGAAATGTGAAGAATTTTTGCAAAAGTCAACAGAAAGTAAAACCGTATCAGTGTTATAAATCAGAAAACATAAAGGATCTGATGGTGTTGCTGGAATGAGGCCTGAGTCGGTTTCCCATGAATGGATTGTATGCCTACCATGAATAACAACATTTGCACTTCTTGAGAAACTTAATGAATAATATCAACACGCATGAGAGGATTCCAAGAGCACACATGAACATGCAGGCTGTATGAAAGTGTGATAGCCAGGCAACCTATGGATCTACTTACCCAGGTCTTCAGTTGTACACAGAAACAAACAATAAGATATAAAATCAAATTATTAAACTGAAATGTAAATAGGTCAAGCATGTATTTCCAAACAAGGATTATGCAAGAGAAGAAGTAGGAGTATTTGAAAGTGGTTTTAAGTGGAAGGAATATACAACCTGAACGGTTTATATCTGATGGATTAGTCCTTTATAAATAGAGCACTTTGTAATGACCTGGGATCTTATAAAGATCCGGTCAGTAAGAAGAGGGCTGCTCTTTGATGACACCCAGATGGTGCATGTACTGGGACAGACGTGAATGCCAGTGACTTTTTGACCCTCACCTCTCAAGATCAGTAATTTTCTTCTCCTTGCACGATTTGTCCACTTCGGCGTCCTTAAGCGCTCCCTTTAACCTCTCCACCTCAGCCTGGGACTTCCCAGACTCCTCTCTGTAGCGGGCCACTTCCTGCTCGAGAAGCCTCAGACGATCTGCGATGTCTGGACAGATTCTGACAGTTTCCTCTGGTTTTGGGGTCTTTAGGTTTGCACGTGTGCGAATAAGTGTGGGGTGAGTGATGTGAACAGATAAAAAGACAGAGACATATTGTAAAAAATATTTTGGTAAACATTTTATGCTGAAAGTACAGCTAGAGTACACGTGATTGACGGAGGTTTTGATAATGTAATCTACAATGCAGGTGACTAAAATTCCCCATTTACATTGTCATTTACTTTGACACAAATGGGACAATTAAAAGAAGAAATTCCCATTAAATTGCCTTTTCTGGAATTGACTACAGTTCCAGTAGTACAAGCCTCTAACCCATGAACTTGCATATAAGTGGACTGTATTTACTAATAAAGGAACTTTGCATCATATATGTTCCAATGGATTTCATTTTGAAGCAACAGATTAAAAGGGAATAAACACAGTTGTGTTGGTCTGTCACATAAACTCACAGCAATACACATTAAAGTTTGGTGTTATAATGCGACAGCATGCAAAAATGCTTAAGGTGTTTAAATACTTTCTCCAGCTCCTATATTTTATGCTCAGACATACACTAATGAAAACACTGTTATTTTACAGATATGTGTTTAATTCCATAAACTTTAAGCTGGACAAGCAATTTCTCAAATTGGCATCCCCATGTAACACAAAAGTAAGCTACACTTGTATATTAAGTTTCTGATTCAGATAAATGCACAATAACCAGGATGGACACACGGATAGAGAAATGGATGCAAAAATGAAATTAAACTAAATTATCAAAAAATCTACTTTTTATCCTGGAAAAATACTTAAAATTACAGACATATCCAGACTGTTTAGGAATCCTATAATGTTGCTGTTAGAAAAACTATAAGATCAAATCATGAAATATATGCGAGATGCTGATGAATACAGGTGACCAAACACAACAGTCACAAAATAAAGAACATACCATGGGGTTGACTGCTGGAAAACCATCTACTTTGGGTTCAACCTAAAGGTTAATGAACAAATACTGCATATTAAAATTAAGACTTTCTGAGGAACCAGCATGCATTAACTAAGCAGAATATTAAGTGTTGTCAGCTGTGGTATGAATACAGCAAAGACTGTGAGAATATAAACTCATCTTTGTCAGAAGCCATCGGTAGCCTCATGTTTGAGCCCTCCCCCCACCCCTCAATGCCTTCTTTCCTGTGGTTTCCTTCAATCATTTGCCTCCTCAGGGCAATTTTTCATGCAGAGTTGTGAGTTCAGTCATTATCATTCCAAAATTACTGACTCCCCATGATGTTTTGACTGTGATTTTACAAGAACACCACACATCACAGCGTTATTGATTTTTTTTTTTTGGTTTGGATCCCTCTTTTCTTCAACCACACTAAATCGATTCTTCTCCGAGAAAAATATCCCAGAGGCACTTTCTAACCTAGAATTATCCTCCTCTCAACTTCTCCCTTTTCCTCTAAAACGCTACCTCTCTCTGTCAACTGTTTGTGAAAATTTTTAAACTTGTTGAGACAGCTGAGGCCACTAATTTAAACAAAATCAAGTTAATGTGCACAAACACTTCTACACTCAAAGTCACATTTCACTAACTTCAGAGGACATAATTAAACTGAAATCATTTCAGCTCCAGCAGCCCTGAGAAACGTATATAAAGAAAAAACTTTTAAATTAAATTAACTTTAACTTAAATTAAAATAACTTTAATTTGCTGAACTACTTTTAAAAAAAAATCCTGATCTACTTATTTTTGATGACAAAATTAATGCTAGGCGTCAACAGTTGTGTCCTTGCCAAACAAAAGTACATTTCTATTTTGTTTTTGTTTATCATTAGTAAACTGGAGCGTTCAATTACTAAAAACAAGATATTTACCAACTAGTAGCTCAACAACTGTTAAATACATGTTGCTCAAATTGGCACAAAAAATTTATTATTGCTATAAATTCATATTTCTTATATTAATGCCATAGCTCCCTCTTCTCAAAGGCAGACATTAGAAAAGAATAATTCAATGAAAAAAGTAGCTCAGGTGCAATATTGTTTGGGTAACAAAATGAATCTACATTGTTTAATTGTCTTTACATAGCATGGATATAAGGACATACCATATGAAGTATGTCTTTATATAGTATAAAGACAGTATAAATACCAAAATACAACACTTTGTTCTTTGGTCTTGGTAACAATGGCTGCATTTCAGAAAATGAGCATCATACCAACAGTAAAATATGGTGGAGGTAGTATAATTGTCTGGGTCTGTTTTGCTGCTTCAGTACCCAAAATACTTGATGTGAAAAATGGAACCTTGAATCCTGCTGTCTACCAAATATCCTGAATATGTCCAACCATCTGTTCATAACCTTAAGCTGAAGCCAACCTGGGTTCTGCAGTAAAAGAGTGATCCAATGTACACCAGCAAGTCCATATCTGAACAGCTGAAGAAAAAACAGACTTTGCAGTGGCTTAGTCAAAATCTTGACCTGAATGCTATTGAGATACTTTGGCATGACCTGAAGAAGGTACTTTGTGCTCAAAAGTTTGCAAACTAATAATTGTTTTATTCTAAAAAACACAATGCCTATGTTTAATTGCCAAGCATGCCTCCAAAGCCTGGATATTAAAGTCTTTCTTTAAAATATAAATAAAAGGTATCTGAAAAATAAGAGAACATTAACACAACCTCAATGTTGAGGAGCAATAAACTATTTAGGAGGGGAGTTTGGGGGCAGTTTATGCTAACTGTCCCTAAAATGGTCAATTCCTTCTTTGGGTTGTTGTTTTTTTATTTTATTTTTTTTTAATTCAAAAGGCTCATGTTTAGTTCCAGGCATCCTTTGGTAAACTCAACAAGTACTGTTTTATGGAAAGAGGAAGAGGATGTAGCAGTCAACAAAGCTCTGAGGTACAGATTAAAAGCACAGTAAACAGCTCACTGAGTGCATAGTAAAAACATCGGCAGGTACTGTGAGTGTGAGCCATAAAGGGCGCTTCTCTGCTGGCAAGTCTCACGCTAACTAATTAATCTGTTAATCTGGTTTGGTTCATTTTTATTTGTAGCCCACTTTGTTCAAACACATCATTTCAAGCTCTGCCCCCAATTTAAGATCAGAGCTTTGTGGTGTCCACAACAAAATCCTGACTGTGTTGTTACTCGAGCAGCTTTGTAGCCAGTTTGGCATGTTTTGTATCATTGTCCATTTTGAAGATCAATACTTCTACCTCCTCTGATGGCCTATGTCTTCATATTTTGCTTCAGTGTCTCCTCATGATGTTTTTGACTCGTACGCCATCTATTTTGTGAAGTGCACCCATGTCTCATGATACAAAAATACCCGGAACTTAATGCTGTCATCCATGTATTTCAGTTTGGATGATGTTTATAACACCAGTAGGTGTTCATTAGGTCATAATGATTGCCATTATGACCTAATGTCAATCCAAGTTTCTGCAGAGCACATTGGCATGCAATCCCTGTGCTACTTATACTTAAATAATTAGTCAATATTTTGTATCCGAACAAACAAGGTACCTTCAGCCATGCATTACTTCACTGTCTATACCCACAACAGCCCTCTTATGTCAAATAAGGAAGCATTTGAGTATTCGAGGTGTCAGAAGCTTACAAATCCAAGCCATTATTATCTGGGATTTCCCAAATTAATAAAACACATAGTAAGAAATAAAATGTTCTCTGAAAAGGGTATTACTCATTGTTTTTGGAATTAAGCAACTGTAAAACATTTTGGAAATCCTTACTGCTCCAACACTGGGTTTAATCTAATTAGAAGCAAGAGTGTGAGAAAAAAGGTTATGTCTTCTTTTTCTCACATTTATTCTAAGCATGAGTTTTTCTAACTGACAATAAGCGTCTTATATCATAAAAAAACAACTCCCACACAGAGGAGTTAAGTCACATTTAAGGCAAAAACTGTGTGGTGTTTCATAATGGTAAAAAGACAAAGAAAAATATCTGCAAACTGCACACTCTTGCTGATTTTAAACATGATCTGACAGTGTAATAATCATGGAGTCTCCCACCACACATAATCTGATCTTGGAGGAAAATATACACATTGCATAATTTGAATTTTAAACAAACATGCAGACTTTTCTTCTGTTTTCCACTTCTATCAAGAAGCAGCAATACTGGCTGCAACAAATCAGAATGGCATTTTAATAAGCACCAACTGGGAAAGTCCCAATTTATTCTTTATTCTATTCTAACCAGAATAGAATAGCTTCAAAAAAGCAAATGATGCTTTTTTGAAGCATCATTTGGATGACATACTAATTCAAATGGTGCATGTGGAGAGATCATATTAACACCAAATGAAAATCAAATTGTATCAGGAAGTGTTGCATTTTGTTTGATCTCTTGATTTATTCAATAAGTGTCACAACTGCATGTACCAGATGTTGGACAGGATGTTGAATTTTCTCCTCTGTATTTAATCTATTTCTAAACATCCTGTTTAAGCTGAATTAACTTTGTATGTTCACAACTGTACTGAGAGATTCCCACGGCTGTGTGCAACGTGTGGCATTTATTATGGCTTTAAATGAGTGATTTCGCAACATCTGACTCTATCTTGCCTGGCATTATGAATGGGAAGGCCAACATTTGTACTGAAAGCCAGTTGTTTTGTGATCAATAGAGTAGCAGAGCTTCTCCCAGGTCACTGCACAGCAACAAGATCAAAACACTTGAAAAGATAAACACAAATACCTGCATACACACACACACAAACACACAGCTGTTTTTTGTGTCGACATGTATGCACAAGCAGAGAAAAAAACCCTTGCCACACAAACATAAAAAAATATGCAGACAACATTTGCTTTTTTGAAGCTCTGCAAGTTTACATAACAGGTCTGATTGCTGCGAAGCATACATAATAGTCAAATTATGGCAGAACTTCTGTCAGAATGTGTATCTGTTCGGTACAGAGTAGCTGAGCGGCTGCCACTTTCATGTGGTGCCTCATCAACATCCAGCAAGGTATCATTTCACAACAACGAGATGTGTGTACCATTTCTATGGGCATAAAAAAAGAGGATAAAAACATTCTCGTAAATTCTGCCAGGACCAGACTCTGTCTAGGCTTGTAAGCTTAGGAGGGGGGAAAAAAAGGAGAAAAAAAAACATGACTTTAAAACAGGGAAACAGGGATTCTTTATGTCTATAAATCAGATGCTTTTAATTCATTCCTTCATTTGAGGAGACGTAGTACTAGCGGGCTTTTCTTCTAGAGAACTACCAATAGCCTTGTGGATGCTCACAGGGAGGTAAGACGATGCAATTAGTAATACTGTGGAAGTAAGCTGTGTAAATACTGAGCTGTGTGTCTGTAGACCACACAGAATAAAGGATAAAACAAGTAACATTAACCGGCCGTGGTTAACACACACACACACACACACACACATACAGGTTCATGTCGATAAAATAGAGTAATTTCAAAAAGTTAATTTACTCCATTAATGCAATTAAAAAAGGGAAACACACATAGTAGAAATTTATATCACACATTGGTATATCTAAAGATTTTTTTATTAATTTTGATAATGCTTTGTAGTTAGTCAAAACCCAATATCTGTTTTTTTCCAACTAATAGAATATTAACCCTTCCACAGTCTTAATTCAACACTCAGGAGGAGCGCAGAAAAATTCATGATTGGACAGTGGGGAAGCAAGTGGGTTGTCCCATCAGACCGTCAATTTCCTAAACCACAAAAAGTAAAACTTGTAAAAGCTCACATGGGGTAGGTGCAACCCTGCCAGACCACAGACAGAAAAAAAAAGTGGGGTCTGAATGAGGGTTAACTAAGATCATCTAAAATTTTCATGACAAAAATTTCGGCCTACTGAAAAGGATGTTCATGTACTGTGAAGTGTATGAACTCAATAGATAGTCCTCACATGATGTCACACTTCCTACATCTGGGCGCTCTACTACCATCTTGGTAGTATGGTGCTTTCTAACTCGCATGTAAAAAGAACCGGCTTGTGTATGTTGAAATTATAGATGACTTTTCTCTTTAGTTTGAATCAGAAATAAATGAGTTTATATATATATATATATATATATATATATATATATATATATATATATATATATATATATATATATACACATTACAATCAGATTTTATCTACGACAACATAGATTCAGAAGACAGCGAATTAGAGTCCCCATCAGGCCTCTGGTTCTGGATTAAGATGGAGTTAGTGACCTGGCTCTGAGGCAGCTTTGGGGGTTGCAGAGCAGCCAATTTTTCCTTCAGTTCCTGGTTCTCTCTCCTCATCTGGTCCATCTCTTCAAGCCTCACCCTTTCTTCTCGTTCCTTCTGGTCTCGGAGGTTCTCAATCACTCGCTCCTAGAGTGGTAAGAAAAAAGTTAATATTGTCAGAAAATCTCTTCAAGTGACTTATTCTGTGCATCAAAGCATCAATCTAAAGTGAGAACATAGATGCTATTTTTTGCATCCAGTATCCATCTAGTGTCCTAGCCCTAACCCTAGAGCACATGTGTCAAACTCAAGGCCCGCGGGCCACATGTGGCCCCCACTGCATAGGCCGATGATTGACTTAAAATAGGTTTTGAGCACGAATTGACTACAAACTACATCTCCCACAATGCATTCCGATTGTTACCAGCCAGACATTACGGCTTCTCGCCACTAGAGAGCAGCNCAGGGTGGAGTTGGGTTTGGATCGGATCCGTTCGTAGAGTCGCAGGGTGGAGTTGGGTTTGAATCGGATCCGTTCGCAGAGTCGCAGGGTGGAGTTGGGTTTGAATCGGATCCGTTCGCAGAGTCGCAGGGTGGAGTTGGGTTTGGATCTGAAACATTTCCTAAAACCCAGCTTAAAGACAATGAGGGTGTTGCTGGGTTCGACCGATTTGCTGGATCTTTAGGGAGCTGCAGTGTTGTGGTTGGTGAAATTGCTGAATGTGGGCAGAATTCAGACCATTTTGCTAACAGCTGTCCAACAGCTGCCTCAGGAACTGAAGATCAATTTTCCAACACCTTGGTTCATAGTGACAGACATGGCTTCAACTCTACTCTCACTTACCCAAACTACATGTGTGGAACTGCAGCAGAGGGAAAGAAAGAAGTTACCAAACCCAGATATCACAAAGAGCAAGAAAATTCAGATATGTCCGAAGATGAGGCTGCAAACCGGAGATTGGGAAAGTTGTACCAAGAGCTAGATACAGGAAAGGAAGAGGTACTTTACCTTCCTTCTTCCTCCTCCAGTATGGTAGACTAGTTTACAGTAGTAAATAGGTCAATACAAGTCCACTCCTTTCTTTTACCCTTTCACAGACTGAGGAACTGAATCAAATATTTGTAGAACCAGGATCCCAGCCTGAGCTCCTTCTCATCCTATTTTCTGTCTCTAAAAGTCTTCTGTTGGGTACCGTCATACCCATTTTACATTCAAACCATCTGTTAACCTCAGCTAGCTTCATACCCCAAAAACTGTCATTGAGTATCTCTGAAGTTTAATTTAGGAGACTGTTGATTTAATAGACCTTTATAGGTCATTAAATCAATGGTGAAGTGATGAACAAAGGAGAGGTTTCAGATATTTATCATTTCTGCTTGTTGAACTCTGTGTTCAATGTATATTATATCTAGACTTTCATTACTTCAGTGTTAATTACTCTGTACAGTTTTAAGTATTTTTTCCAAATGTTTTTATCTTATTCCACATTAATAGTAACATGATTTTTTATGATCACACAATGTTTTATCTTCAGGACAACAGACATCAGATAGTGAGCTTTGTACTTGACAGAAGTAACTTTTAAAGAGGACTGTCACCCAACCAGCATGTAGATCAAAATATCCTAGTAGATAAAAGATCAGCTTCTTCCTCCTTTCCCAGTGTTTGTTAGCTAACCTCATTTCACTCTTTAGTCTTTACCCCTGATTTATGTTAAGAATTACTGCTTATGATTAACTTATTTTCTGTTTTTGTTTCATGCAACCTTCAGGATGCTGCAGCTCCATCATTTTTTACAGATTTTGATAAGATGGTGAGTTTCTCAACATTAGTGTGTTTATTTGTAAAATAATGTTTATTTTTGTTTCTGAAACAAACAGCTTTTCTTCCTTAAATATAAAAAAGTGTTTGTTATGAGGCTTCAGTTGGTAGAGATTAGCTTGTTTCATCATTTAGCCTTTGTAGGTTAAAATTAGAAGAGACTATTTTAGTGGATGTGGAAGTTTTACTTAAGATAGTAGATTTAATTCTGGAGAAGTCTTTAAATCATGTCAACTTAGAAAAAGTTACTTCTTCGGATCGTTGGGCTGATTTCTGTGGAACCTCAGGTAGCAGAGTGAGTGACTAAACTCACTTTGAGCTCAAAAAGTGTTTCTCTGCTGAAGAATGAGAGTGAATCAACAGAAGAAGTTCCTGCAGCATCACTGATACAAACAGCCAATGAATTCAAAGAGGGAACAGCACCCCCTGCTGGAGAACAGTGTCCGAGTCCATCTCTTCCTGCTGATGAAGACTTTGAACAGCAGCCTCCGGAATCAAACGTGGAGGAAGTTCCAGCTCCCCCTGCTGGTAAAGCCAAAGAACATGAGGCTCCTACTGATGATGAAGAGGACGACAAACCTTCAGAGAATCAGCAGGACGAAGAGCCAGCTGTGAGTAGAAATGCTCCAAAACCGATTAATACCATCATCATCATCATCATCATCATCATCATCATCATCATCATCAATCTGATCATCATCATCATCATTTTAAAGTCTCCCTAAATGGCCAGGTTAATGTGAAGGTTCCTTCTTCATCAGCAACATCAGCGTTGATATTCTTCACCAGAACATTTAGATCTTCCAACATGGTTCCTTCTCTCGTTAGCCTTTTCATTGTTTTGTGTTTCATTTGTTGTGTTTCTCTCCAAAGGCTAAAGCTGGAAGTCCGGAGAAGCCAGAGCCTGCTGAGGTTTGTTAAATCAATTACTTTTTATATGTCTTGTTAAATTTTCACTAATTAGTCTTTTCAACATTTCCTGTTCAATTTAATTCTGTTTATTTATTCACAACAAATGTCTTCTCGAGGCCTTTTACAAAGCAAAGATTGTTTCAATTCAACCACACTTGCATTACATTTGACCACATTTATCAAACAGTGCAGAATGCTCAATTAATTATTCAAAGTAGATTAAAAAAATTCTCTCTTACTAAACCCAACAGATTGCATTGAGTTGTTGACTTGCAGTACGACTCCTACTGACCAGCAGGGGGCAACAATCGCTTGCATTGTGATGTCAACATTACAGCAATCCCTCATACTAGGCATGTCATAAACATGAATACGTAGACGCCTCAAGGAGTGAGTCGGCCCGTTGGTGCCAAACGTCACAGCGTCCGCCATATTTAATGGGGCACATCTGCCAGTAAGCTAATACAAGTAAATGGACCGAACTTAATAAAGCACCGTGCTACAAAGTATTTTAAGTTAATGCCTGTCATTGTCACGTTCTCTCTCTCACACACACATACACACTAACATATTTGGGAATCTAAGAAAGCTTTAAAGAACATTTTTAACTTTTTGATGTGATTGTTTTTTAGTTTTCTGAATAAAGAGCACAATGTTGGCATTTGATACAACTGATTCTGAGAAGTTGTTTTTAGATTCCCGGATAGCAAAATATGAGTGAATCAACATTGAAATATGGTGAGGCAGAAATATTGAATTCATATTGAAACCTGACATTGAAACGATATTGAAAGCTGTCAGTGACTCACTTGTTGAATCAACGTTTCAAACATAACTGACGATATCAATGTTGATTCAGCCATCTGAATGTGGATCTAAATGCACATTTGGGTTTACTTTTTATTGAATCAAAGTTAAGGAATCAATATTGATTTATGTCCATTTTTTAATCTGATAGGTCTACATTAAAAGTCTCTTCACTGGTGTTAAAGACTCAGAATTGTTGGCAGATGATGGGAATATGTCATTCAAAATTATGTTACATTAACATATTTCCAAAAATGTATGTACACAAACTTAAAAAATGACAACATGGCATTAACAATACATTTTATTTAGGAAAATAGGCATAAATCTGTAAACATATTTGACTCATTTTTAACTGTCAGAACAACAGTCTATTTTCCATGAAGAACATGAGGTTCAGCTTTGTATTGGATGTACAAGTACAGGAAACTTGTAGTGTTTTCCTGTATGAACCAGGGGAACAGAATAAGTTGGGGTAACTCAGGTTTGACTCTGGTTGGCATCACTTTGGTTCCTTCATGCCTTCTTCCTGTTCTGGTGCATAATGAAGCTGCTTCTTGACAGTTTTGCTGTATTCCTTGTCAGTCGGCTTTTGGTCAAACTGCTGAGCAGCAGCTGAAAAACTAAAAGATAAGAGGAAGGAAGGAAGACAATAAAAAACATTTGAAAAGTTTTGCAACACATAGTGTGAAAAGGGGGAGGTGGACCACTCACTGCTGGTCGTGACTGTAGATGTTTTTTTCTCAACACATTATGCACAAACAGTAATATTTACAGATAAGTAAGAAAATGTACAGAAAGGAATTACAACCCACTGTTCTCAACATATAGAGCTGAATTTAAAACGTGATAAACCTGATCAATAATAAAATGCTCTGATCCAGAGCTGAAGGAGGAGAAGGGGTGCGACAAACAGTATACATTGATCAGATGTTGATCAGATATTGGCATTTCACTAATTAGGGTTCGACCACAAAACAGAGTCAGTGAATCTTTGCAACATTGGTTAATTGGCTAGAATTGGATGATTGATGGTTGATCCACCGTCAGTCATTGACTTTAACCAAATGTCAACCTTTTTGGCCATAGTTCAGCATTGAATTACCTTCTCTCGCTATCTGGGTTGGTATTGATGAAAACACACACACACACACACACATTCATAAACATGTTTAAGTTTTTTTCTTCATGTCTTTAAAATGCAAAGGCACTTTAAATTATGCAATTGTGTACTTTCCTTTTATTTTTTAGATATTGTAAATGCAAATTTTTACTTTTCAGGAAAAAAATATTCATTACAGCATAATATGTCATAGACGATGTGTGATAAAGATTTCAATCAAGTTTATTTGTATTGCACATTTCAGCAACAAGGCAGTTGAAAGTGCTTTACATCACTAAAACATATAAAAATAAAGTTGTAGAACATCAGACTAAATTATTTTTATTTTATTATGTAAAATTTCTTAATACCCTAATATTTCAGATTGAAATATTTCACTTAAAAATACACAAAAAGTGAAAGAAAAAAAAATGTATGTTTTTATTTATGTTATACTGGGAACAAGGTGCCCAGGCAGGGTTCAGTCTGCTGGTCAAACTGGGAGCAGTCCAGTGAATTCTGAGTTGTATTGGTGGACACAGGCTAAAGCCAAGGATAAAAGACAAATTCTCTAACAGTTGTAAGAGAATAAAATCATTAACTTCTGACTCGTATTCTCTCGTCCTCCCGGATTCAATGATGCCGTGCATGGAAACAAAAGCCACACAGAGATAATCAACACTCCACATCATACATTTTCAGAGTTTATTCCAACATTTAAAAGTATAAAATCACATCGACACAGACACTTCAAACACACTAAAACAGACATTAATTTACCTGAGACAAATAGAATAGGGAAAAATGCCAAAACAGGAAAAAAGACAAACGCTAACCCCCTAAGTGCAATCATAAGATTTATTAGATGAACAAACTAATGAAGGTGACATAACTCATAATAAAATTACAAACCAGCAACCGATTCAACCTTACTCCACAAACACCAAGACAAACTTATGGGGAAGCATTTCACCGACGCACCGTTCCCCGGAGACAGCATCAGGTGTAACCCCGGAGCGATCTGAAGTTAAGGTTCTGGGTCCTATACTTTTGAAGGAGGGCGTGTTTCCCTTCTCTGCTGTATTCAAATCAGGGGAGTTTCCTAAGCTAGTTCATTTAAATCTAATTCACTATGTTCCAGTAAAAACCTGGTTTTGTTTTTTTTAGATCAAAGAAGTGTTATTTTCTTATGAGTGGAGACAGATGTTTTTTTATAAACCTACCTGGGAGGAAACTGGTTCAGCGACAAGACCAGACTGTTTTACACCAGCTGTTAAATCCTATGAAGGTGGTCAAAAGGTTAAAGTCACACAGAGCCACGACCCCCTGTGAATGCCTGTGACTCCAAGCTGTGTTTAAAGAACTAGAAGCTAAGTTATTTAATTCAACTTAGTGTAATATGTTTCAATAGAAATATCCTGCTTAAGAGATTACGCTGATTGAACCATGAATATAATTTGGAACCAGATTTTCTTACTTAAAACACTAATTTTGTCAAATATTTTGAACATATAATCAAGTCTAAAAACTAGCGTATTTTAAATTTATTTTCTTAACAGTGTAATAGAAAATTCACCTCTGATTCCTTCACATTCTGAAGAAATGTATTTTCAGGACTTTGGGTCTCTGACTCGTAGCATCTCTATAGTTAAACATCGAGATTGTGAAGCTGAGCTGCGAAACATCAGCCTCGATAAAAGCAGCTCCAGCTCAGATCCTCACTGACCTGTCCTGAAAATCCTCCACTCTTTAACGCACTTCCCTTCTAACAGCAGTTTCTCATTAGAAAACCTACACAGTGTGACAAAAGTTAGCTAAGGAAATTCCAATCAGCAGTTACTTCAGGCCAATTTAGTTACATAAGAAATATTTCTTTAAGAAGCGATTTTTCTGACCGTAAAGTCAGAAAATTCTGCTGATAAAATCATGTTATTTTCTGTCTTACCTGTGAATGGTAATGCCAATGGATCCAGCTTGTAATGTGAAACGGTTGAAACAAGTCCAGCAACATGTGAATTATGGAGCTCCGATCGCTGTATTGCACATGTGTCAAACTCAAGTGGCCCACCATGTCTTTTTATGTGGCCCCCCAGCGTTTTATAGGCCCATGATTGACTTAAAATAGGTTTTTGAGCACGAATTAACTACAAACTACATCTCCCATAATGCATTCCGATTGTTACCAGCCAACATTACGGCTTCTCGCCACTAGAGAGCAGCAGAGTCACCTTAAGTTGCTTATTGATTTTCCCAGCGAATAAAACTGAGACATTGACAAGCTAACATCAAAACGTCCAAGAAAAATCGATTTACAAGTAAGACTGTGAATGAAGATGTGTGTGAGTTGGTGTCAGGGCGGCAGGTGGCGCTAGACTTTTTTTGTTATCCGTTATCTTGACCGACAACATAAAAAAATCGGTCATGTACTATTTTTATCCGCGAAATTACAATCATATTAACATCGGCTATTTAGCCGCATTTTATGCGGTTTAGTTAATCACCGTGAATCCAGATCCCATCACAGATTAAGCAGATAAATGCATCTACATTTTTCTCCGTAGTGACAAAAAAAAAAACCACTGACTGAGGCCCCAATAACTTTTAATAAATTAAATTAAGCGACTTCACTTAAATTAGCATCACTTCACCCGCTGGGGTCTGAACGCACTTCCTCCTGGTTCCCATCTGCAGAGACATCTGTGCTAATTCATCAGTCAGTTGGATCTGTCTGATCCAAACAGATCAACTGAACTCTGTGAGTGTTTTACCCTGCGCGGTCCGGTGTGCGCTTTTACCAGGATTATTATTATTTTTTATTTTTTGCATGGTTTCGCTTCTCTGAAACGGACAGATGATGTTACGTCTGCAGCTCCTCCAGAGCGCCGCTCTCCTGGGTAACGTGCACCCAGAAGGCTCCATTTGTTAAATCCGCTGGATGAGTTACTCCCAGTCGTTTTTAATTCTTCGCAGTCCGCAGTGGTTGAGCAGCGGACTGCGCATTACAGTCTAATTAACTTTTGCATCGTCATTTATTTCCTCAAGATAAACTGCCGGCTCCTCAAATGGATTAACACAACGTTGCATTCTCTTTAGTTTTCTCTGGTCTGTAATGGAGACTTGAATTTAACGCGCCATTTCAAACAAAGGTTTCGAATGCGCTTCCTAACCAGAAGCTCCAAAGAGTTATTTAACAATATGAGGTGTTCAATTTATTTTTAACATTGTATTTTCATACATTTTATGCTAGGGGTGCCCAAGTCTAGTTTTCCAGAGCTACCATCTGCAACTTTAGATGCGTTCCTTCTCTAACACACCTGGATCATTTACTCATAAGGCTCTACAGAACTGAGTTGCTGCTAATGAGGGAAGTCAACCTTTTGTCTGGGGTGTTTTAGCAGGGATGCATCTAAAAGTTGCAGTCTAGAGGACTGGACCTGGGCACTCCTGATTTGTACTGTCAATGTGGCCCGTTGAGGGGGGCCAATATGC